GACTATAACAGGGATGTATTCTATATATTGTAATAATATATGAAAAAGACATAAAAAAATTAAGACAGAACAAAAAATATGGAACACATTGGTTGTAAACAGTATAAAAAGAAATTTCTTGTACACACATTTTAAATGGTTAGGTAGAAAGCACGTGCGATATTCTTGTTGGTACACAAGTCCAAGTTAAGTAAGAGGACTTCCTCCATAGACACTTACCCTATGGGAAAAAATGAACAACAGTAGCAAATTACCGAACAGTTTCCAGAACTACTTAATTGCTTTAATTTGTTATCCTCCAAAGTAATTTTTTTCCTCCTTTAAGTACAAAACTCATAAGAGTGACTGGAGTATGACATTTATTTTCAGATAGTGTTCAGAAATTTTATGGGGCAGTTTAAGGGATTTGTCTTTAATTAAAAGTGCTATACACTTAGTAAAAATCCATGTTAGTTGAGGAATTGATTATTTTTCAAGGAAAGCTGCAAATTTTTCTTGTATGGGTAAATGTCACTCTGTTCATATCTTGGCTTAGCTGCAAGTCAGGACTTGTTCTGTTCCACCAGGTTGTCATAGTAACGCAGTTAACTGTCATCTCAACTCACACTTGATGGTTTTATTTGTAGGTTTGTGAGATTATTAAAATTTAACAAAAATTATTGATTTGCTTTTTATTAAGACTGAGTTGTTTACCATGGAAGTTCAAACACAATGCAGGTGTTTTTTTCCTAAGTCTTTAAAAAAATTAAAGTGAAACTATATTAAATCTACTTGATTTTTTAAAAATTTTATTTAAAATGAGATATAGAGCCTGCAGCTGTAGAATAACCTCACTGAATTGTATTTTTGAATTGCTTTCTATTTTCTTTGTTTACTGAGAAAAAAACTTAAAAAGTCACTTTTAGCCTGCATTTAGCATTTAACTTAACATAAAAGATACCTGTCAGAAAAACGTGCAGTGGTACACCAAGTGCCTAATATTGGAGTTTTCAATTTATTTATGGTTTTTGATACATTGCACGAATGCTTCGGTGAACTGTGTTGTGAAAGTATTTATTTTTGTATATTTATGTGAGAGAAATCATTTAGTTTTTCACTTATAAATAAGACAGGCAAATCTTATTTACAGTAACTTTATCTAATGGTCCGTGGATGAGTGCTTTTATGCAAAATAGTGAAGAGGCTACAATTAACTTTTCACATTGGATGCACATTTGATGTCCAGACTTGAGCAACATGTGGCATCTTATTATAAAGACCAACATTCAGGATTCAGTTTGTGTTTACCATATTTGCTCCAGAATGCGCACATCCTCTGTGCCACATTTCATGTGGACTTTATAATGGTTTCTGTTTCTTCCTTGTAGATACCCAAGTAGAAGTGTTTATTTGCTACATTTTGTGATTTTCTCTTTTGAGGTTTCTTTAGACCCAGTTCATTAACTGTTTCATATTTTATATTAAAAACAAGTCCATTTGGGGTGTATTAGCTCCTTAAATTTCATTGATTAGCATAAGGAATCTTTTTATAGAAATGTGACCTTTGGATAGCTGTGTTTACTATACTTTTGTTGCTAGTCTTAAAGCTGTTCTTGGAAAATTAATAGTAAATATATCATTGATTGTAATACTCTATTCCTAAGTAAACAATAGCTTGTGTGTACTTGGATTAAATTTAAGAGAGCTCAAATCAGCACACATGGAATAATGACTCTTTTAAAACTAAAGTTGATTTCTTCTTCAAGTTTTATGGCTTTTTTGCAAGTCGCCTGCATGATAGTCCGCAGTGATCTTACCATCCTGTTATTCATGTTCTTGTGTCCCCTCCTCCTACACTGAATCATGGGTGACCTATGTGATCAGTAGAATATTGTAGAAGTGGTGGTGTGTAACTTCTGAGGCTAGGTCATGTACAACACAAGGCTTCATTTGCCTCTTTCTTGACTCACTCACTCTCGAGAAAGCCACCTGTCATGTGCTAAGGACACTCAGGCAGCCCTGTAGAAGGGCCCATGAGGAAGAACCAAAGCCTTCTTCGTGGACCATCTTGCCAGCCATTTGAGTGTGCCATCTTGGAAACAGACACTGACTTCAGGTCATGGCTTCTAATGGATGGTTGCAATCTCAGGTGGCATCGTGCCTGCAGCCCCACAAGAGAGCTTGAGAGAGCCACCTAGCTGAAGTGCTTACCCATAGAAACTGTAAAATAATACATATTTATTGTTGCTTTAAATTAGTAAGCTTTGGCGTAATTTGTTACGTAGTAATAGACTGTATATCTCGAGGAAATTACTTAAAGTTTTGGTAGTATGTTTTTACTGAAAATCTATATAATGGGATAATACTACTTAACTCTGTCTTTTTCATCAGTGTGACGCAGTACCTGACACCTGCAAATTAAAGGAGGAGAGGTTTATTTTGGCTCATGTTTCAGTCTACTGTCTGGCTCCACGGCAGGATAGCATGACACTGGATATAGTGGAGAATTGCTCACCTTTTGGCAGAGAGTGAATGGAGAGGCTTGGGAGGAAGATAAACCCTTCCAGACCTGCCTTTTCCAACTGTGCCCCACCTCCTAACAAATCCAGTCATCTTCCGACAGCCCTGCACACGAGCTCATGAGGCTTTGGGGGACATCCAGGTATAACCGTAAATAAATGCATGGTTAGGTGCCTTAAAGTTTCAGAAGGTTCTTAGTTGTTATCTCATTAATTGTTGCTCCAGGTCCTTCCTATCTTTTGTTACTTTCCTGGGACTGTAAAGTGGGTTAGCAAGTAAATGTTTTTAAAAACTCTTGGTTGTATAATCTGTTAGACCAGTTGAATTCATTATGTGATCTTTTATACAATACATGTTTTTCGTTTTGTTTTGTTTTGTTTTGATGGTGCTAGGGATTGAACTCAGGGCCTCGTTCATGCTGGGCAAGCGTTCTGCCGTTGAGCTGTATCTTTAGCCCTTTTAATTTTTTTAATTTTAAAGTAGAATCTCACTAAGTTCCCCAGCTGGGCATGAATTTGTGATCCTCCTGCCTCAGCCTCCCAAGTAGCTAGTATTATATGTATACACCACCTTGCCTGACTAGACAGTTGGTATTTTTAAAGTATGTTAGACCTTTTCACTGTATTTCACATGTCTCTTTCACATTCTTTTCTGTATTTTCTGGCCATTTGTTGTCTGTGGCCTTCTCTTTGGATATACAAACATATACACACGTGCGTACTCATACACATATACACCGTACATATGTGAGATACATTGTTTACATATTCCTACCTCACTAATGTTTTGCTTTGCTAAATTTCAGTTAAACCATATATTGAATTTTTTTGTAAAGGGAAATGGTTTATTTGGAAAAGGGTAGAAAAAGGAGAAGATAGATAACTACTCTGGAAGAGCAGGAGGCTACAGAAAGTGAATACCTCCCACCTATTGAATTCTTAAGCTCAGTTACATTTTTCAGTCTTAAATTTTCTCTTGATGCTCCTCTATAGATTACAGGTGTTTGTTGCACATTATCATCTTTCCATCCATTTTCTCTACCATTTCTTTTGGTTTTTGCTCTTGTCTATTTTGAACATACAGTCATAGTCCAAGCCTTTTTCTGCTCGTTATATCTATGTCACCTGTAGGTTTATTTCTGTGGTCTCTTTTTGATTTCTGATTATTTGATCCTGTTTTGTGGCATACTTAGTAATTCATTGAACCCCTTGTATTTGTAAGTGAAAAATTGTAAATACCCCAGTAGTTTTCTTTTCAAAATTTAGTCTCTCTTTCCTTTACTAGACAGATAGGTTGGAGGTTCTAAACGTTACTCCAATCAGAGCTTAAACTGAGTCAAAGTCCAGCTGACATTTGGTAAGTTTTTGTGTCTCCTGGGGGCCAGAATTTCCAACTGTGAGCCTGTGGTATGCACTAGAACCTAGCTCCCTGCTGGCTTTAGAACTCTAGTTCTTATCTTCTCAGAATATCAAGGCAACTAGTGTGCATATTTGAGGCTTTATTTACCTTTGTAGCCTGACACCATATACAGCTTTAGAAAGTAACAGCAGTCTTACAGGATAATAATAATAATGGGGTAACACTCTCCCTTCTCTGCCCCTCTCTTCCACTGGGCTCTTGACCCCTCAAGTCTCTATATTTGTCAGTTTGTCCCCTTGAGCACCGAAGGGGATTGCCTTCCTGCTTTCTCGAGTGGCCATTTTCCCAGCAGAGCTTGGGTTTTGAGCCTCTTGTCCTCCAGCCAGATGTGGCAAATGCTTCCTGGAAGAATGTGTCTGTAGGATGCCAGGTCTCCTCTCCTTTGTTTCTCCACCACCCTGGAAGCTTGACCCTCCTACTTGAGATGGTCTCAGCAACCCTTTGATGCCTGGGGCAGATGATGTCTGTGTCATCAAACCTTCCCACTTATTTTGGGTGGGACATTGATGTACTTCAAGATATTTTAATATTAGCAGGAGTTTGAAGAATTATTTTTGAAGGAAATAGCAATAAGTAGATTATCTTCATGAACTTGGATTTTGGTATTTCCTTATATATGTATGTAATAAAAAATTTTTTTTGAATCATTATCATAGTAATTTTTCTGTTTTTTTTTAATTTTAAAAATTAAAAAACTAACAAAACAGTGAATTTTAACAACTATCTTTCATTGTTAATGGTGGTCATTATAGTTACTATTGATTGCTAACTTTAGTCCTTCACTATAAGCCTGAAAAATACTTTAAGACGCAATACAACACAGTAAGAGCAAACATAAAAAGTTAGTGATGATACAACAGTATGTCTCTCTACTCCTGTCTTCAACTTTTGAATTTATTCTGCCAGTGAAGCTGATACACCTCATTGGCTCAAGGAAACAGGATGATTTTAACCTTTAACTGTGGCTGTGATTATGGACAGTGGATGAAGGACCTTTTCTCCTTCCCCCTTTACCAAATGTGTTTTGACTCTTTCAAAACAAATCTGCAATGGCTGTCCCTTTTCTGTGCTTTTCACTGCAGGAAGAAGAGAGTGAAGAGGAACCCAAGCTGAAATATGAAAGGCTTTCTAATGGGGTGACTGAAATTCTTCAGAAGGATGCAGCCAGCTGCATGACAGTCCACGACAAGGTGAGGGGATATCAAAAGGTCCTTGCTTCTGTTGTATGTTTGTTTATGGAGTCCTGATGCTTTTGGAGGTGTTCTACAGTGGCTGTATTTCCTCTCTGCCACGCTTCCTCTCTTTCTCACCAACAAAAGCCAAGACAGCCACCCCAGATAGTTTATCTAGGTACATATACCTACCCACGGATATACAGTGCATCCCAAGGATGTATCAAGTAAAATCAAGACAGCAATTCATATGAAATATTCATAGGGTTTTGGGAATTCCATCACTTAATTGATCAAGTCATAAGGACTAAGTTAGGGACATGTTAAGATTAGAAGTAGAGGGATGCCCCATGCTCTTAGAAGGAAAGAAGAGGTTACATTGAAGGTCTGAGAAGTCAGACCTGCTTCAGAGTGTTACTTATAGGAATGGATGAATGTATTCTGCATCTAGATGAATGTATTCTGCATTTGATACCTTGCTGTATCAAAAATTCCACCACACCTTCGAGTCCAGGTTAAGTACTGATAGTGCCCTTAACTTATTCTTGGACCAGAAATTTCTCTGTCATAGTTGGAGTGGTGGAGGCTGTGGATCAACCACTGCTCTCTCCTGTGCACTTGTGAGTGTGTGTCAGCCCCAC